ATTTAATCTTGTAAATATTAGATCAATAAAGATTGTATTTTAATATTTATTCGCGCTTTTAACGAATACTTAGGAATTTAGTTAACATTACAAAATGAAATGTCGATTATTTATTCGCGCTTATAACGAATACTTAGGAATTTTGTATCGATCATAATTTCAAATCAACCCCACCTTAGCTGACCCTTTATTTGGGTCATGTTTGTTCAAAAGGCACCATAATTTCACGCTGCGACAAAAGTGGCGGAGCGGTTACATTAAACGGAAGTACAAAACATATGGAGAATCTACACGGCTGTTTCGGGTTAAAATTGATAAGATATATTTATATTGTTACACAAATGGTTAAAGAAAAAAATAAAGCGTTAGTAGCTTTTTTGTATCTAAAGTTACGTAAAGTTCATTAGTAAAGGTCACAAAGCATATGAATGGGTTGAATGAATTTAAAAGAGACAAAACATACTGTTAGAAGGAGAGGCTTGTAATGCGACGCTGTGGCGCGAATTGTATAGGATGTTACAAATTTTGTTTCTTTTTTACTTAATATTAAAGACTGTAGGTTGGTCGGCCAAAATAAAATAGTGAGGATAGCGTAAACAACTTTATATATTAATTAGACTACTTCCTACTTATTAGGACAGAGTAACGTCCTATACAAAGGATAAAGTGTTCTACCCTATTACTGAAACATTATGCGCTTATATACAAAAATATAATGAGTCATCACAACTACATTACAAATCTATGCACTTATTAAATTACTAATACAGTTAATAAGATTGACCTATTAAATTATAAATTATTATTAAGCATGGTTTATTATATAATATTATACCAGATATGGTTCAATGTTATTAAGTATAATTGTTATTGATCGTATATTAAGCAGTGTTGCCAGTGGATTGTAACATTAATTAGTTTTGGTTGAAAAATATTTTTTTTTTAATTATGGATTTTGTTTAACGTTAATATTTTTTTATGATTACTGGCAAGTGGCGTTAGACGTGTGTTCATTTATTGTCGCGATGGTAAAGACACGCTGTATATTCAGTGTGCTGCTTGTTAGTCTATGCTATAAAAAAAATTCTCTCTGAAGACATTGTGTTTATTGAAATGAAACTAACGTAAAAAGGAGAAACTTTTACTAAAGGTTTTATATGCGGATGATTTTAAATTCAATTAATCAAATATTCTGAGGGAGATATAGATACTGCTACTGCGTGATTCAACAAGCAGACCGTTTTTAAGAAAACGTAGCTTGGAAGTTAAAAGGTAGTACCTGCGACGATAGAGCGCAGGTTCGAACCGTAAAAGCAAGCGTTGACGACTTTTCGTCCTGGATTACTTAAGTTCAATAATCACTGTCTCTTTTTTGACACGATCCCAGTATACGGTGGTAGGCTTAATATCACGCCAGGGACTGATGAAGTATTATTTAAGAAAGTTTGGAGACAATTAAATATCCTTACAAAAATTTAGTTTTCATCATCATCATTTCAGCCTGTTTAAGTCCACTGCTGAACATAGGCCTGCCCCACAGATAAAAAAAAAAAAAAACAAAAAAAAGAAAAGAAAAAAAAAAAGAAAAATTTAGTTTAAAGACAAGTTATTTAGGGTCAATAGCTCGATAAATTCCATCAAATTCCATCTTAATTGCAGAGAATAGCATTATAAAAATTATTATCCTTTAATCTGTAAGGATGTTTAGCGATCCTTAACAGTTGTAGCGCATACATGGAAAGTTGTTACCACTTCTGTAACGTTACAATTAAAGGGATCGCCCGACGTGTGATTGCCGATGTGGTTCAATTTTCGTCATCGCATCTTAATGTGTATCAAAATGCAACCGTTGTTACGCTACGCGGAAATTGCAAAAGGCGCATCGCGATGAACATTTCAACCGGCACGACGGCTTCTTACAATTGCTGCGTTGTGTTCGAATGTTTCTTTGCTCTGTTTGTGGATCGCGCGATCTCGACCGCGCGATCGTCATTGTTGCTTTAAAAGGTAAAGTTACAGCCTATAAATGCCACACTGCTGGGCAAAGGCCTCCTATGTAAAGAGGGTACCAGGGCATAGTCCGCCAAGCGACCCCACTGCGGATTGGCGGATTTCACATATTTTCGAAATATTGTTTTTGCTATTACTCCAAAAATATGCAGGTTTCCTCACGATGTTTTCCTTCACCGATGAGCACGAGATAATTCAGCACTTGAAATTAACAATTTCATTGGTGCCGGCACCGGGGATCGAACTCAGGTTGCTCGAGTTTATTGCATTAAAGGCGTTCGAAAGTCAACGAGACTCGACGAAAGTGCTTTTCCGGCTTTTTCGCGTTTAATGTCATTCAAATGGCAATTTAGAACTACCGATTTTTCGAAGACTGTGATATGGTATCTGTCTCTGGGTCCAGATAGAAATGTAAAGTTGGAATGGAAATTCGATAGAATACGTAAATTACTTTCGTTTAGTAGTTTTACTAGACGTCAAAGAATAGCAATATCACGGGGGTATGGCCACGCAGCAGCCTTGGCTGTTGCTGAATGGGCAGGCTCGTCCGGGTAAGTACCACGACCTCACAGAAGTCCGGTGTAAAGTGGAAGTATAATACTTTCGCGTTTCGTCTGGTGAGTGAGGTGGCCGGAGCCCAGATTTCAAAAGATTCTCAACGCATCTGCAGCCCTCGGGTGTAGCAGATGTCCATGGGCGGCGATATTCACTTAACATCAGGTGAACCGTCTGCTCGCTTGACAACTTTTTGCATACAAAAAAAGCATAGTACGCATTATGATTAATTTTCACATTTAGTGCTAGTGTCTGCACTCAAGATGAAATTTAAAGTTTGAATTAGTTGATAAATGGAAAAATACTTTCGGTGGCGGCGATATTTTCGTGTCGTGAAATGTTCAGCCGCTTAATTGCTAAAGCGTCTCGCCTTTCCCAGAAGACACAAGCTTATCCCGAAGTGCCGAAAGTTCTGGAAAAATTCACATTTAAACATTCTTGTCAAAGACTATGCAAAAAAGAGAGATTCCAAGACTCTTCTATAGCCGTGACGTAAATCGAGCCCTTAAAAATTTTATCAGTATCATTTTCCTTATCATTTTCCTCTATTGTACGTGATAGCAATTGTGTATAAGAATAAACCGCTGCTTATCGATATATTGTACTACATAAATAGATTCTGAGACAATAAACAGGATAAATTGTTTTGTTCTCAATATTCTTCAGAGGACATAATAGATATGGGGATATATGGTATAAGGAAAGATTTTCTCAAGAGAAAATAATGAAAAATAACTAAGTGATTTTGTATTATATCACCTACCATTGTCTGTAATGGTTTTTAATCGAAAATGTCGAACTTACATGCAAACAATAAACATATAATTTATACGTTTAATATTTGTGAATATGAACTAGATAAATAATTCATGCCTATGTATATCTTGTTTCGAAGCTGCATTATAAGCTATACCATTACACTAGTAAAATCTAACACAAAATCTAAATGAGCGCATAACACTTATTATGTCTTAAGTGAAGTAATATATTGTCTGTAAATTATAAAATCCGATAACATTTAAATTTATAGCATTGTTCAATTGTAAAAGCAGTAATATTTTGTGTTGATAATGTCATAATCAAAGTTGCGAAAGTTTCGATATCCTTTAATACTTATACGAGCTAACTTCGAATTCCCTGCGTACTATGTTCAGTATTCGAAACTAGTTTTAGTTTAATGTTCAAAATTTCCCAAATTAAAACGTGCAAATTAAACGATTATTTGCCATCGTTTATTTTGATTACAAAATAATCGTACAAAGGTTGGGATCGGCGCATCGCCACACAAAAAGCAAAGCCATAAAAAACAAAGTAACATCATATGTACTGTTGGGCAAAGGCCTGTCTGTACATAGGGTATTCTGGCATAGTCCACCACGTGATCCTATCTTAATTATTATTTCGAAAATATGCTGACTTTCCTTCACAGCTGAGTACGCGATAAGTCAGCACTTAAAGTAAAAAATTTCATTGGTGCCGGCACCGGGGATCGAACTCGGGGGTTGTTCGAGTATAGTGAATTAAAAGCGAGCGTATACATATGAGCTATTACGGCTTTTTAACGAGCCATATATATTCGTTTTGACCAAAACAGTTTCAAGCGCAGAATCTGTGGCCAACCTATAATTCACGGAACATTCATATACTGTAGGATGTGTAAAAGACACAAAATTCGTTTAAAACCTTAAAAGTGAAACTTTACGCAGAGATTTTACGACGTCAAAAGGAAAATTCCGAAACAAATAAACACACTTAAAAGCTTGCGCAATCGAATTGTTGAAAGAGATGGTTACGTGATAAATATTTAGCGAGACTCTTACTTATTTTCTATGGATGTGCCGTAATCGGGAGCTTCTTCGCCGCGTTACGCAACCACGGGGTCACGATACCCTGCCGTTGCGCAATTGTCGCCCGTCGCGGTGAAAATACAACTTTCTACCAAATGTGGACACCTGTTTCACTGCATCATGTTAATGGATTCGTGAGGACGCGAGACCTTGGCGCATACGGTTCGGCCGCTTCCAATTTCGAAATTCGAATATTGTTTTCACTTTTTTTTAAGAAAAATATATAGCGTTTATATGTTGGCAGTGTTGGTGAAATATTTATCAAAGCATAGACTGAATAATTGAAACTGTTTGTAAAGAATGTGTATGTGTATGAGTTATTGGCAATTATTAATTTATGGATTTTTCGTAATTTATTATGATACTTTGTGGTTTGTATTGGATGAAGGGGTATAAGGGCTCAATTAAACCGTTATATTTGTTTAAGTTTTTATGCAAAAAATGAATTTTATAATACAACTAAAATTAGATATTAAAATTACTATTTACATAAATACATTTAGGCACCGTAATTTTTTCTCTACTTAATACTAGGTTTGTCGCCAGCGAAGCAGGTATCACATGTGGGCACTTTGCGTGCGGTGTTTAGTACGGGCCGGATTGGCCGGGGGGTCCGTACGAGGTGCTGACCCCGGAGCCGTGGCCGCCGGAGACACCGCCGCCAATGCTGCCACCGTGACCGCCGCCGATGCTGCCACCGTGACCGCCGCCGATGCCGCCGCCGATGCCGCCGCCAAGGCTGCCACCAGAGATGCCGCCGCCGATGCCGCCGCCAGAGAGCACGCCGCCGATGCTACCACCGCCGATTCCACCACCGATAGCACCGCCTCCAATACCGCCTCCGATAGCACCGCCTCCGATAGCTCCACCCTCCTTCTGGGTCTTGTACTTGATGAAGTAGACCTCCGGTTTTGAGGGCTGGGTGGGGGCGGCGGTGGGGATGGTGATGTCGGGCTGCTCGTCGGGCTTCTTGACCAGCACGTAGACGAGGGTCTTCTCCTCGTTCTGGGCCTGAGCGGGGATGATGGGTGCGACGGGCGCGGGAGGTGCCGGGGCCTTGATGAAGATGATCTTGTAGTGTTTCTGGGGCACTCCGCCGCCGCCGATGATCTGGGGGCGCTGCTCTTCAGGCTCTGGCGGGGGTACGTGGACGTAGATGTGCTTCTGCACGATGGGCGCGCCACCGAAGCCGGCGCCGCCTCCGAAACCGGCGCCGCCCCCGAACCCGGCGCCACCGCCGAAGCCAGATCCGCCGCCGAAGCCGGATCCGCCGCCGAAGCCGGATCCGCCGCCGAGTCCGCCGCCGATCCCGAAGCTGCTGGAGCTCAGGCTGCCGGACGAGAATCCGCCGCCAGACGAGAATCCGCCGCCAGACGAGAATCCGCCGTGGCCGCCGCCGATTCCGCCGATGCCCCCATGCCCGCCGAGACCGCCGCCGCCGGGCGCGTTGTAGCTGTACCCTGCCTCGGGCCTAGCCGAGCCGATAGCCGCAACGGCTGCCAAAACCTACGGAAGAAAGGTCAGTTTTAAATAGTCTCCGTTTGCGTGCTGCACAACGGTTAATGATCTGTGGTGAAAGTTTAAAAATAAAGCGGAATCGAAGAATCCGCCGTATTTTGGCCGCCGATTCTAGACTGGATATCCGATGTCGTAGCCGCGGGATAGGTTCCGCCGATGCCGCCGCACCATAAGCCCGCCGAGTATACTGGCCCGGGTCACGCCGCCGCCGGGCGCGTTGTAGCTGTACCCTGCCTCGGGCCTAGCCGAGCCGATAGCCGCAACGGCTGCCAAAACCTACGGAAGAACGGTCAGTTTTAAATAGTCTCCGTTTGCGTTCTGCACAACGGTGAATGATCTGTGGTGAAAATTTAAAAATAATGCGGAATCGAAGACACAAGTCGAGTATTTCAGTACAAGAGGAACAAATGCATTGCGATTCTAGACTGGATTGCTATCCGATGTCGTAGCAAATCGCGGGGCTGTTCATAGGTTAGCGGTGCGATGGGATCGCTGCCGCTCGCACCATAAGAGGAAGCGTATACTGGCCGCGGGTCACGCACAGGTCACAAATCACTTTCACTGCACACGTTTACCTACCAAGAACGCTTTCATGTTGTCTTGCGGAGGTCTCGTGGTTGTATGATGCTCTGTGCTCCACACCGTTGGCTTTTATACCGGCGGCGGCGGACGCCTCTCTCCCAGGCTCTTCCTAAGATTCGGCCTTCGGGCCACGCGAGAATTATGATTTTAATGACGCTAGTCCGATTCGACCACGGTGAAAACAATATGGATCTTGATATTTGAACTTTCACACTGAAGAACCGAAGCCGAAGACGTGGGTTCGATTCCCACAGCGGCGACAATCTTTTCGCACTTTTCTACATATTTTAATGTTCAATAATGCATATCTATATTCAAATTAATAAATCATTTCACTCCTTCGATATAAAAGATGATGTCTATTTATACAACACAATATAGATTATACGTAAATCCGCAAGATGATTTCTAACTTGTAATATCCAATGTCTTTTGAAATATAATAGGCTTTTTTCTGCAATTTACATTAATGTTCATGTTTTTGTGTATCGTACACTTGACTTATTTTAACGCGAAGGCATTCCATTATGATGATGAGAAATGTCTTCAACTTATTACACAGAAGACAAATTTACAAGTAGCCAATAAAGTGATTCTTTTAACTGTAATGGGGGAATGTTCTCGAATAAGAAACTGAAAGTTTATAGGATGTATAAATGAACTGAAAAACACCGGATGACGCAAAATTATGTTTTTTATTTCAAAAAGAAGAGAAAACACGCGTGTTTAAGTCAGTAACAATGTCGTGCTTTGAAAATAAAACATTTTATAGCAATTAATGAACTAGTTTCCGTGGGTATTATATTAGGGATGTGATTACACTATAAATAATAATAATTATATACTTTTAAATAATTAATAACAACTTTGCAATCACTATTATCATGTTGATACGTTTATTTTTGTTTTAATACAAGTGAGAAGAAGAAAGTTATCTTCAAAAGAAAAAGGAGTTTTCAATCATCAAACCCCTACCACATACTATCATAAAATACCGGTGCCCTTTGCACCAACAATTCTTCCGAGTATAAGAAGTTATGTGAACAATGTGACGTAATACTGGCACATTTTGAAGTGAAATGTCATTTACATGAAAAAAAACTTTCTCTACCCTTTGGATTTTAAATTTCGAAACAATCGGATTCGAAATGCGTAAGTGTATAACATAATAATATTTAAAAGGAATTATAAGTCAGTAAAAATATTTTGATATCGTTATATCATGGAGACAAATAATGTTGTCTACTTGGAATACGTCATAGGCATATTTATTTTAGAGTAGTAGAACAGTATTAGTTTCAATACATAATTTGGAGGGAAAAATAATTATCGCTTATCGTTAAAGCTAGAATTTTAAGGCAGGTAAATAAGAAATTTACACGAAACTTATATAAACATACATATTATAGATATATTACTTAATGTGTGCGTTTATGCTATGTAAATGAAGTATGCATCATACTATTTGAATAATGTATAAAATTAGTTGGAACGTCTTATCGTAACACAGTATCAAAACGCGGTCTTCCCACGATGAAACAAGAGCACTAAAGGTTCAGGCGATGAGATGTGGAGCAAATGTCGAACTGTCGCAACCAAAGGCGCAATTACGATTCCTGTGCCATTCAGGGATTTAAAATTATCACACACTGAGGCGGTTAAACGAATTAGTATGTAATTTATGGTAAAATTTCTAAGCTGAGAATTTGTTAAAATGTTGCACGTATCTTGATCATCACGCCAGAAAAAGGTAACGAACGATGACAGCTCATTTATTTCTTGGTTTTTACATGAACATTAATTATATTTAGGTTACGATACTGAATTTCGTGAATTTATGAGGCGCGGAATACTTCTATATAATCAAAAAAGTCCGTGACAATCTTTGATCTGGTTGAATTCAAAATTGCTGTTCCACATCATCATATTGAGGATGTGTAAGAAAATTACTCAATCTGTGCCAATATGAAACTAATCAATAGAAAGCAGATTGATAGGATGTTTTTTTCATTTAAAAGTACCATCGGCGATGATCGATTAATATCAGATTGACTTGAAACATTTCCATTGGAACACTAAAAATTAATAATAGTTGCGTTAGATTATTGATATTTCAAGTAAACTGGTAAACATTTGTTTGGTCGTCCCCCAATAGCCTATTTAAGCCTACACCTATACTGCAATTGTAATGGTATTTAAATTAAACTGGTGAAGCTTTGTTTGGCTGTCCCCCAATAGCCTATTTAAGCCTCCACCTATATCGAAATTGTAATGGTATTTCAATTAAACTGGTGAAGATTTGTTTGGCTGTCCTCCAATAGCCTATTTAAGCCTCCACCTATACTGCTATATGTAATGATATTTCAAATAAACTGGTGAAAATTTGTTTGGTCGTCCCCAACAGTCTATTTAAGCCTCTACCTATACTGCTATTGTAATGATATTTCAAATAAACTGGTGAACATTTGTTTAGTCTTCCCCCAACAGTCTATTTAAGCCCCCACCTATACTGCTATTGTAATGATATTTCAATTAAACTGATGAACATTTGTTTGGTCGTCCCCCAATAGCCTATTTGAACCTCCATCTATACTGCAATTGAAATTCACCTCCCATTGCGAACTTAGCTGGGATTTTCTGAGAGGCACGCTCACCTCATGATTATTCCCGCAGCGTACCGTGAATCATGTAGGCAGTGTTATGTCATACGGCTCGGTGAAAAGTAAATGTTGCCAGCCAGAGAAATGTCGGCCTTGTGTTGAGCTGAAATGTTTCCTTAAACAATTTCCTCGAGATACAGTTTTGATCAAAGAAAGGAGATTAGTTCCTGTTTACGTGAAAGTTTACGCTTTGTTTGTAAGACGCTTTTATGCGTTTACGTGTTCAGGTACGAGTTAAGCAGAAAGACATGATAATGACGTAGTTCGAAATCCTTGAGGAGTGTTTAGCAATGAGTTAAGTCTGATATGCGGCAACGCTTTTGAATCTGTCCAAGATTTTCCCGAAATAAAAAAAAACATATTAAATATTTAGTGTAGTAAAATCAACAAATTATATAACGATAATAAACGATAATGGCTCATGAATATCCTATGAAACCGAAGCCGACGTAATAAAAATAAGAAGTTTTACGTAAAATGTTTTTTTTTAATTCGAGAAGTTTTCAACAAAACGTCGGATGAAGTACTTCGGATCGAGATTTAATATCAACTTCGCAAAGTTTGTACCTAAATGCTTTTGGCAATGACGAAATCGAATCTGTCAAATTCAGTTTCCGACAATTAAATTAATAAGCAGGATATTGGGGATTAATATCGAAATATAAAGCAGCTCTCAATATTAATGAGAATTCAGTAAGGCTTCCTTTATTTTGTAGCAAATTATGGCCATTGTCGAAACAAAAACTGATCGATTATCTAGATATTTCATGAAGCATATGAGAACTCTTACTTATTACACATTAGCGACCCGCCCAAGCTCCGCACGGGTGCAATTTATTATACATATAAACTCTTGAATCACTATATTTAGTAAAAAAAACCGCATCAAGATCTGTTGCGTAGTTTTAAAAATGTAAGCATATAGGGACACTGCGTCGCAATTTTTTTTAAATACGGGAGCGTCGAAAAATGTTTGAAAATTAATCTAGTTACAAAGAGTTCACATTTACTTTCATCTTGATCAAATAATAATCAATGAAATCAAATAAAACAAAATTGTTTATAAGAAACAAAGATAATTAATGGTATCTATCTCAAAGGTTTTTCAACCATATGACTGGTCGTCTATAGATTTGCATCGAAAAACGGAATCATAATAAGCATACTTCCAAGACTGGAATCCGCCATTTTGGATAATCGACGTACAAGCAAACAGACTATCACTAATTATGTACTCGTATTTAAAAAGCGAGTGCGGTCGCGGTTTACTTCATAAAATAGATTCTAAATTTCAACTTCAAGATGGAAACGTCTATCAAGCGAGAAAAAATTGCATTACGGACATATCATTTATTCAAAAGCACGCTCTCCAACATTCTTGGCCACTAAGTAAAGTCAAGTGAGCACTTAATTGTCGTTTCCGCCGTTTAAGGCGAAGCATCCTTAGCTTCGAGGTTGATTGGTTTTTTTTTTTCTCAAACAGCGTTCTAATTATCCACTGATGCCTTCAAGATGAGACTTAAATATGTTAAGCGCCTCTTAAAAAAGTATACACACGTTAAACGCAATGAACGTCAACAGAATTTCGCAATTAAGTTTGTAAAGCTATTTCAGATTTAGGTCAGTTGTTATAGTTGGCTTTTTTATAATTGATCGTTGAAAACGAGTAGGTAGTACAGCTGATGTAAGCCGTGGAGATCCTCAAAACCCATGGGCTTAGTAATTGTCAACATTCGAGATGAGGAGCCTCAACTAATGAGGTAGTTAGGAGGGCGATTAGGAATGTCATTGGCGGCCTAGTGTCAAAAATATCACTAAATGCATAACAGTAGAGTAGTGTTGCCAATAGCCTTTACTCGAGTTGTTATTACAAATAATAAGATTATTATTTTCAATGAAGTTTATAGAAAATTCCTAAGTGCAGAGATAAGCAATATAAAAAAATGAATTATTATTATTGTTTTATGGGAAAGGCAAACTTCGGCACCGGAGGTGGTGGGTTTGATTCCCGCACGGGACGAAAATTTGTGTGACTGCGGGATTATTATTCCGGATCTGGCTGTGTGCTCCCAAGGAGTGTTGACTTCAGGTAGGCGGCTGTCGTACAACACCCTAGCAAATACCATTAACAGCGTTATCTCATCTAAGCCCTCACCTAGGTGGGATAACAGCGGGAGAAAGAAGAAGACATTTTATGAAGCCTTTGCGATACGGACGGGATATTGTTTTGTAGTTCACTAAGACGTATCGTACGGAAAGGCATCTGCTGGCATCGTTTGATTCGTGTCAAGTTGACACAAAAGATGACTAGCTGGTCGTGCGTTTTTTTTTTTATTTTTTTTTATTGAGAAA